CTGCAGCATAAGGGCTTTCAGGTTAAATTGTTAGTCTATGAAACTTGAGGTTTATGCAGAATGTTTTAAAAAATCACCATGTACATCAATTCTTATAAGATTTGTAAGGCTTAATTCTCACATAAGCTCAGGAAGGTGGTAGAAAAGTCTCTATCTATCTCTTCCTATCAGTTTAGGTAATCTTGGATTTATAGAGAAGAATGTTCCAAATGACAATGGGAAGAATGCCTTACAACATTCTGAAGGAAGAACTGTAAAAGACGTATCTACTCTCTTTTCAGTCCTTAAAAACAACCCTGACCTTGATCCTAACACTATTGCTACTTTTTCCACACTGGAGCCCCTATTCATGTCTGGGAGCCAGAGGGCATGTGCCTCTCTCCTTTTGAGCTTAACGAGCACAAGGGCACTGGATACAGGTAAACATAGGTGGTTCCAGGAATTGTGCTCAGGAGAGAGTGAATGAAAAGTTGTAGGGTGCAAGTGACCAGTAGTGGAGTCACTATAGGTGGGCACCTGCAGAAGCTGACAAAGATCAGTTTTTCCTTGAAAAATCACACATACCTACAGTATGTATAGAAAGTAACCTGCCACTTTGGGAGAGAGTATAGTCTGCTATCAATATGTGAAAAGATATTAGCCTTGAATGTGTAGTCTTTGACTGGTCATAAACCCAGCCTGAAGAGTTTCTTCATGCTATTCCAAGGGACATTTCTCAGTCATTAACTTTAAGAGATGATTTTAGTTATTCTGTCTTCATGAAATAGCAGTCCAGGCCTCTATTCTAGGAAGTATAGGATCTAGAGTCAGAAGAGTCAGGCTTTGCCTTGAGCATTTTATTAAGACCCAAACCTGAGCTTCTATAGTCTGGGCTAAATTCTTGCTGTCAAGGAGTCACCAGATTGGCCTCAATTGAACACTCTTTCACTATGACACCAATGATTATTATTACTATTATTATTTTGTGGAACTCGGACTTGAACTCACGGATTTCATCTTGAGCCACTCCACCAGCCCTTTTTGTGATGGGTTTTTTTTTGAGATAGGGTCTTGTGAACTATTTGCCTAGGCTGGCTTTGAGCTGCAATGCTCCTGATCTCTGCCTCCTGAGTAGCTAGGATTACAGGTGTGAGCCACCAGTGCCTGCCAAACTGATTTTTAAACAATGAGAAAAACATGTAATTGAAACACCATGACAAATTTCTGATTTTGAGTTTGCCAAGTACTAGATGCATCTTGTGTTCTTCCCACGGAGTGGGAAATAAACCAAAAGCTTGTATCTCAGGGTTACCAAAACCTTCCCAATAGGTAAAGGGTAGAAACAAGAGTAAAGAAGAAACAGTCTGGAGGAAATAGGAGAAAATGTAGTTAGGGTCAAATAAATGAAATGGATAGATGTTGGTGTTTGCATTTAGGAGAGGCGGCCTGCTGTCTTCAGCAGAGTAGAATGAAGACTGTATAAACCAGGCAGGAATGAAATGGTCCTTGCCGAAGACTCTGGGGTTTGGCTTGTGAGGTGCTCGGTGACTAAAGTACATTCAAGAAAGGATTGATGTGCTTTTGTGGTATGGTGAGAGGATTCCCTGCTTGAAACTAAATAAAGAGAAGCATCACTGGCTACTTCTTACCCTGGGCAAGGCAAAGATGTATCTGCATGTCTGCAGGGATCAGGGCATGTAGGGAAGTCCCACTTGTGGGAAGTAGTAGATGCTAAGGTGTCCTGGGACAAGCTATACATTAGCAGGTCACCATGACCAACTGAAAGGAATGCACAGGAAGCAAGGAGCTTAGAGGTAAATTCCATGTGGTTAGCAAGGCAACAGAAGGGAAGAGTTGGCTGTGGGACTAAAGAGAGAGAAGAAAATGCTCTGGGCTTTTCCAACCCCTAATTAGTCTCTGGAGTTGTAGTTTCACGGAAAGCTAGAATTTTGTCTGAATCTGACAGATTTTTCCTAATGTTCCAAATATTATTCATGGAAGATGCTTATGTTCATTATCTTTAAAGGTCTTGAAAATTCTCTAGCACCTTGCATTCATCCTTGATGAATAATCACTGACTGAGTGAATCAGCCATGTTCCCAAATGAGGAATATGTCTTACATTAATTAGAATGGGAGTCAATAATGAGCAAGATTTAGCCTATATTTTCTTTATTACTGCCATTTGGCAAATTGAGGTTGAGAGCTCTAGCAATTCAAGTCTCCCTCTGAGGAAAGTTTAGTAACTATCAAGATAGATCATGGCAGCTCTCTCTTGGGGTCCCCAAGGCTCACTAAGCATTTTAAGGGGACATTGGACATTTTCCTAGTGGCTGGTGAAATAACCCATATCTGAGTATGGGAAGAAGTGCAGTCATGCCTGTTGCAACCAGTCAATTCTGTACTGAGGCTTAGAATTGGCCCTGCTGGCACACAGGACAGGTAGCAAGAAGTCTGGCTCCTTTTTCCTTGGCTCAAATTCTACTTATCTACTCCAGAGGAGGTGGCAAACTTCATTGCACAAGACAGAACTACAACTCAAGTGGAAGGGGAGGGGGAAGTAGAGGCTGTAAGCCAACTGTGGATGAGGAAAAGATAGGAAAGTCAGTCAGGGTCTTGGTTACCCATTGTCCTCCTTTGATCAGTGGCCTTTGGCAGGAGTTTAGCGGATAAGAGAGAACATATGACTCTGGGACCATCTTAACTTGACAATGAGAATAGCTTTAGAATCCAGATTGCTGACTCTGAACAGAAAAGACACTATTCACCCAAATCAGATTTGAGGATAGAGTACAAAGTCTTGAATACCAGGTCTCCAAACTTGCAATTGACCCCTCAAAAGTACTTGCCCTTAGCCAGTAGTGTACCTGCTTTGATTTTCCCTAAGCCTAGGTCATCAAATCATTATCTTAACTGCTTCAGAGCATGTGGCTGTGGCTGTAGATGCACAGTCATACTTCCAAAATGGGATCTTAATTCTGCTTAAAAACATTTAGACATAACCTCTTATTTTCCTTTCCCCTCTTTCACCCAAACAAGCTCCTGCTCACAGAAGATAATAGTAGAACAGCCCTCTAAAGTAATCATTCTGTGTATGTACCCCTTATCCTTCACAGTCTCAGAAATTAGTGTAAATTGTGGACTGTTTACTTTATAAATAAGACCTCAGTGAAGTCTCTCAACAATGGTCTGGATATCAGGTCACATCACTTCTCAATAGAGTCCTTTGTAGTTTATGAAGTGTTTTCACATATTATGAAGCTCTCTAACCTAGAAGTTCATTGTTATTACTTCCTCCATTTTACACATGGTACCATTGAAATTTAGAGAGGTTATGTGATCTTCTCATGTTTCATCATTTCATGAGTGACTGGTTTTCAAACTTGTGTCATCTTTTATCTGATGCTTATCCAACAATACAAAGGAAAGAAAATTGAAGTTCTCTGACAGAAACTTCAAATTTCTTTATATCTACCTTCAGGCATCTCTTCTTGATCACATTTTTTTATGTACACCATTCTCCACCCCCTCAGCCCTCAGTGCTCTACAACTCACTCCAGCCTGCTCTATTTTTTGGAGCTGTACATGGCCTTCTAAATCTCTATGCTTTTGCTTGTATTGCTGGAAAGTTTCCCCCTTTCTCTACTTGTAGAAAACTCATTCTCTAAATCTATTCATTCTGCTCAAGAGTTCTACCTTCTGTGAATATTCCCCACCTTTTCTAGTCAAATTTAATGGTGTATTTTCTGTGTTCCTAAGCACTTTGCTTATTGGGATAAGACATCACCTATCACATGAGAAAATGATTTGTCTCTGTCTCTGTCTCAGCTTATAAGCTGCCAGCACCCGGCACAATGAACACAGAGAGGATTTTGTTTATCACTACATCCCTTGTTGCAATTATCACAGCCCTTGGTTTAGTGTTTGTTGAGTGAATAAAAGCTAAGGGAATCAATGGTGAAGCAGTTCATACTCCAATTTTTCAACAACTCCAATGAAGGAATGGTCTGATGTTTTTCTTCCTTACCTCAAATCTTTGCTATTGTCCTGATAATATGTCTTGCTGGCTTTATGAAAATATTGAGTGTTAGATAAAAAAATTATCTGCTGTATGGAATCATGAAAAGGGGACGATCTGTTATCTTTCTTGGGTGAGTAAATTCACTCTGCCATCACCCAGATGATCAATGTTACAGAAAAGCATCCAAAAATGAAAATTTATATTTGACAATTTTAAACTAAGCTGATATGAATTGATCTTCTTCTATTAATAATTTCTTATGTTCACAAATTATACAATAGTAAATTTCAGTAGATTGAAATAATGAGCTTGGTAAGGTGGGGGGAAAGTCTGGATTTATTGAAAGCAATGTAGTTTTATTACTTTCAATACTATGATCAGCCAATAAAGTCTGTCTAAGGAGACATCTACTTAATGACATGGATCCTTATTTTATAGCTGAATCTTTTTGCCTAAAGACCTATGCTAAGACCATAAAAACAATGCATTATTTTCACACAGGTTACAGGTACTCTCTCCACTGTGCTTAGCAAATCCAGTCCTTGCAGACTATTTAAAAGTAAAGTCCAGCTTAGTCTAGATCAAATTGTCAAAATTGGGCATTAGTGATGAATTAAGACGGTTTTATTACATTCATAAAGAAGGGCATTTGAATACAAAGAATATAGTCCAATGTCCCAGGGAAGTGGTAAATATTTTTACAATAAAAAGGGAATGCTTTTTCAAGTAAGATAAGCATTACTTATTCATCAACCTGGGTGTACAGAAACCCATCTTCAAAGCCTTTGTAAATTCCTCAAGGGCATGGGTCACAGTCTGCTAGCTTCTTCCTGCCCTCTGAAACTTTACACACCCCAACAGTGGCACCTGGGCTCTGCTTTTTGATGATTATTGTCACCAGAGCAGGTACTTAGAAGCAGCACTGTGAAGTTTCAGATATACTGGATGCTCTGCTTATCTGTAAGTAGCTGAGATGAAAACATTGTGAGGAGGTTACTCACTGATTCTGGGTGCAGGCTGCAAGTAATGTGGTGGTCCCCATTCTGGAAAAGAAGAGAAAGGAAATTTATATGCTACCAATGTATTCAAAGACATCTATACAACTTTTTGCACAAAGATGCCACAAAGGTTCGAATATTTTATTTGTGACAAGAACAATCAAGGAAGAGATCATGAAATATGTCATCCCTGTGTTTCTGGGCTAATGAAAAGGTGACAGGCTTGGTGTCACTTATTAGAAAACCTGGAATTGCCTACAAACTGTGGCACACAAGACAGTTTTACGACTGTATCCTCTGCAACAGGAAGAAGGAGCTGGGGAAGGTGGAGTGGGTGGAGTTGGCAAATGGTTATCACAGGGAAGATGGTTTCCTTGGATTCTTAGCATTTCACTCCATAGCATAACAGCACGTTAACATTCAATTACATTTTTCATTTAAAATCTTTGTGGAAAGTTGAGTCCTTGGGATAGATACCTTTGGGGAACATTGACACAGAGGGTAGATATGCCAGGTGCATCTCCTGGCATTGAGGATCAGTGGCCCACTATTGGATGCCTTAGTTTGGAAGGCTCGGAAGGCTAAATGAGCTGAAACCCAACATAAAGGAAAAAGACTCTGAGGGAAGTGATCCATGGGTATTTAAATCGTCCAGAACTAATGGCAGTTTATTCTGTAGTGACGAGCTGTAAGAAAGAAGTTTTTATCTTAATGATCAAGAAAGGTCTCTTTCTGCCAGATGAAGGCAGCCAAATGCAACATAGCATATTTTCTTCTTGTTCTACCATCTATGAGGAGAAAGAGCCTCTGTTTATGCTGTGGACAATTCCAGGGAACAAAAGCAGGAAATGATATGACTAGTGTTTGTCTTTTTGGGTTATGTAGTTCCAATTCTTCCCGTAAGTAACGTATTATAAATATATAATATGTGATGGATTATAATATATGTCATATACTATATCACAGGATATTTAATGATAATATACATCTCTTATGTTATACTGTACTATATATTTATATATTATAAATTTGACATGTGCTTTGCCCTTTGTACGTTGTTTAAGAAAAGTCCCTTTCAGAATATGCTGATTAACATTTGGAGGTTTGGGGTTTGAACTCAGGGCCTTGTGCTTGCTAGACAGATACTCTACCACTTGAGCCACACCTCCAACCCTTTTTTGATTAACATTTTAAAAAGCACTCAAGAGTTGTGTGGATTAAGCAATGATAGGAATATTAAATCTCCATCCTTCTGTCCTGCTCCATTTAAATAAGTTATTGTCAGTATGACTCACTTATAATATTGCTTTTCTAACCTTAATTGAGACCAAAATCCTCTGGGTTCTTGTCTTTTTAATCAGTCTTGCACCAAATTTCATTTGTCTTAAAACATACCAGGTTTTACTTGCATCAGTGAAATGTGCTTCTGTTTTTAGAATGATTTAAAAAATATATCCAAGGGCATTTTTGAATTGTAATGTTAAGAGAATCCCACATGAGGTACTAGTGACTCTACTTGATTTAGCGATTTTTTTCATTTTGGATGAAGGTATTTATAAGTCATTTATAAGGCTCATCAATAAGGTATTGTTCCTTCAGTACAACTGCTCCCCACGGGTTGGAACTTGATATGTAATCCAACCCTCTTTAATGTAATTGCAAGTCTCTATTTACCTGTTTACCCATGTAACTGCAGCATGATTAAGGTCACACTTTCATGGCTTAGTGACAAGAATATTGTTTAGACTAGAACCCAAACTCTTCTTCCATACAAAGTTGATTTTATCCAACATATTTTCATTATTTATGTCACCTACCACTTAATCATGGGAGGAAATTAAATTGGTGCAGGAAAAATAGCTACTGAGAGTGTCAAATGCATCTGCTTCTTTATCTCTTATGATACTCTGGCAAGTTGTTTATTGATTGTATGATAGATTGTTCTCATCAGGTATTGCTTTTAAGCTATCTGGCTTATAATGATCAAGTCATTTCCTTAACGAATGTGGACAGGACAAGTGCTTTCCTCAATCTCTATGATGGCTCAAATGTAAAGGCTGTACAAGGTCAACTGCCAGTTTTTTAAGTGTATCTGGAAACCCCATATTGGAACATAATAATGAGAGTGCACTCAGGTATTGGGTTCTCTTCCCTGGTCTAGTTTGGGTCTCCACATATCACAGACAGGTAGAGTAATTAAATGCATTTCTCCCACACTGTGCAGTGAACTTGAACACAGGAATGATGCAGCTTTAATCCTTATAACTTCCCCAACTCTATTTTAATGTCAAACATAAATATGTATTGAATTAAATCATTTCTGAGACAGACTTTTTTTAAAGATCTGATGAAAAGGATAGGAAAGTTTTTATGAATTGTTTTCTGAGTAGAAGTATTCTCTTTCACCCCAGGATAATAGGAGTAGAATGCATGGTTCTTCAAAGACTTCGTCCATACTGTATCTACTAAATCATCGTTATTTCTATTTCTGTTTTAGTGTAATGACTACCTACGATGTTGGGCTCCGCCCATATATCAGTATAGACTGACTTACTAGCTACATGATCATCAATTGGATCACTGTGAATGTTTGTCCATGGTCAACCTCACATTCAATATGTTTGTTCTTACATTGTGCTTTGTAGCACAATATGAAATCTAGATTTATTTAGTGGCTTAGAAAACCTATTGAAGCAAAAGTTTCCCCTTTCATCCTACTACTTTCATCTGAGTTGTTCTGTTTTCTGTGGCAAACACGCTAAATCTGTTGAAACTTGAAGTAAACACCGTAAGTGAATGGGTCTGGAGCTTTGATGGAAAATCATTTCTTTTAAAGAAAATTAGCATCTCACTGATCCTTATCTTGAGGGTTGAGAGCTTCATGCAGCCTGAATTGTTCAGTAACACAGATAGAACTCACACTCCAGTGAGGGAACACAAATATGATTGTATGTATTTTTCTTTAATTTTTTTATTTTTGGTAGCACTGGAGTTTGAACTCAGGGCCTTATGCTTGCGAGGCAGGCATTCTACCACTCGAGTCATGCCACTAGCCCTTTTTACGTGAGTCTGGCTTTCAGTAGGGTTTCATGCTTTTTCTCGCGGCGGTCTTAGACTACCATCTTCCAGCCTTTGCCTTCGTAGTAACTAGGTTAGATGTGTGCACCACCAGGCCAGTCTTGTCTTTTGAGATAGCGTCTCACTAACATTTTTGCCTATGGAAGGCTCAAAAGCGAATCCTCTTTTCTCTGCTTCCCAACTCTCTGGGATTATAGCCACCACGTCCAGCCTAATGTATTTTTCTTGAAAGAACTTAGAGTCATTCTTCTGGTCACACAATAAATTAGAAAGTTTTTTTGCCACTGTCCTTCCCTAATAGAAAATACAAAGATAGGAAAAGGCTAGACAGCTTCCTAAGGCCATGTGGCTATTTGTTAAAAATGAAACAGAGTTGCATTTGGATTGCCAAAGCTATGTTCTCAATAATAAGTCAGGTTTTCTTTTTTTTTTCCAGATGTGATTATCAATACCGTCTTAATTTTATACAGTTATTTGGATGCAAAAAAATCATCATAGTGAAGTTTGGGTCCTTCCTTGTATAATATTTGGTTGCTGAATTTAAAAGTTTATCCCAATATTTTCTTTTGAAATATTGATTTGATCTAACCTTACCATTTTTCTCTTCTTTTAAAATTGCCTGGGTGCACAATTATTAAATCAATAGTAACCACAATAACAGCTAACATGTCCTGAATACTTATTGAGTACCTAATGTGTTTCTGAGTGCTTTTATGTGAACCTTATCTAATTTAATATCTTAAGAATCTCACAGGAATACTACTGGGATTTGTGCGTATGGAACACAGCTACGTTTGCAGATCTGCGCTTTCCTACGTAAACCAAATCCATAATCATGTGCATTTACCAATTTTAGTCCCATTAAAGTGGGTTGAGAACTTAAAGCCACAAAGCAGAATCCTTTTAGTTTTAAGTTTTTTTCCCTACTACTTTGCTGTTGTCTTGCTCACATCTAATTCTATAGCTTTTAATAGTTCAACTTCATTGAGTCTTTTCAAAACATTTTAATAGAAACAGCAATTGTCTTTTGTACACCCATATGTCATTATCTTACATAATTTATAATGGAATTGAATTGTATTCACAAGGACAATTGGCATGGCAGGTCTGGGAACAAATACAACTGACTCTTGGTCCACCTATATTTCCACAGGTGGGGCCAGAAGTTTACAGGTGGACTAGAGGACTCCTAGTGTTAAGCTAGATGTGAACAGCAGTTGGTAGGTTACATCGAAGTAAGGGAGCTTAATTAAGCAAACTGTTCAAGAGGAGGCCAGTGCAGACACTTTGAGTATGCATTACTTGGATAAAGTTAAAATTGAAAAAATCAAAATGGAAGAAGGAAGAGAGTGAGTTTAGGTATCTTACCCAAGAATGCAAAGCTAGAGATAGAACTAGGACTTGACTCAGTCTAGTTTTCTTTCTCTGTATCCCATGGTGCTTCAGGACAGAGGTGACTGCAGTAGCTTGGTTGTGCTGCTCCAATCCAAAAAGGGGACTTAAAGACAGCAAAAGAATGACCAAAAAGTGAACCAAGCAACAGAAGACAGAGGTAGTCAGAAAGGAATGAGATTGTCTCAGACATTTGCAAAAGAACAGTCCTGTAATTATGGTTTCTTTGTTAACCCAAGTACTTCTTGACTTCAAACCTCACTGGTTCAAAACAAAAGAGGTTTCAGCAAACAAATTTTGCTTGCTGATGCTGCCAAAAGAACTGTTTTTTTTTTTTTTTTGTAATTGTGAAATTGAAGACAACTTGAAAGTGCATTCCCCCTCCCAGTAAACAATAAGCAACACAGAAGAACTAGTGACCCAATGGTCCTATGAGGGACCAAGCTTAAGGAAATCTGTGAAGACAAACAACAATTCAAATGAAGTAATTTGAGTCTCACCATCACTTCCTTCTAATCCCGGTTTTACAGCTTCTATTTCTGTTCACTCTTTCTCTGAGTTAAGACTATTTAAGC